ATAGACAAACATAATAGAAGAATTGTTCATTCATTAAAAAAAAAAAACAGAAGATAGATTATAGCTAATAGTGTAGATACTCGTTCGATGAATGTATTTGGATCTTAACATGTTAAGATTCAAATTGAGATTCGATTTCAGTACATCTAGTTTCTAACACCAATAAGTTAATATCGATTGGAAGAAAATATTACTGAAAATCTGATGCAGAATAGTATTTTATCTTGTATTTACATTGTATGAAAGTTATGACGGGGCGGTTACTAATTTAAGTGAAGAACATCTAGAAGTCAAAACAACTCTCTGTCGACCAACACCAACGTCACAATTTTCAATACAAATGTCAAGACGATTCTATTGTATGCGGCGTAAACCTGGAGAATTATGAAAGCCATCATCTAGAAAATACAAGTGTTTAATCACAGTTGTCTTTACAAAATACTTAGGATCCGTTGACCAGACACTATCAACAACAACTTACTGTGAGAGAGAACAAATCAGATCCCAACGGAGGAAGAAATCAGGGAGAAGCGCTAGAAGTGGATAGCATACACATTGAGGAAAGCACCGAACTACATCACAAGGCGATCCCTCACGTGGAATGCTCAAGGCCAAAGGAGAAGAGGGAGACCAAAGAACACATTACGCCGAGAAACAGAGACAGACATGAGAAGAATGAACAACAATTGGATAGAACTGGAAAGTAAGGCCCAGGACAGAGTGGGTTGAAGAATGCTGGTCGGCAACCTATGTTCCATTGGGAATAACAGGCGTGAGTAAGTAAGTAACTAAGTAAGTAAGTAAGGTTACTAATTTACCAAGATTATAATATATTGCAGCATAATATGATATGATTATAATGAATAATAACAATACCGTAAAGAGTTGTCAGCTCCAATGACGAGACTATAATTTATGGAAGAACCAATCAGATTTAAGATAACAGGTCTTGGATCTTGGCGTAATATTCATTCATTTATTTGGCTAAATAGCGTTTTGGCATTTTAGCTGATATCATTTCGTGATAAAAAAAACACAATAAATCTAATTTGTAACTCTAACCATCAATTGTAAATCATAATTCTAATTCATCACTCTAGTTTATAACGCACATTTAGTCCTAGTAAGCAGATGGATACTTTCAAGGTCAGTTTAGTGTTGCTCATAGGTCGTTCATAAATTCTAATCTCACCAAATAATATTTTACAGGCAGTCTCTTTCACTTGTATTCAGTTAATCAAGTTACCTATAACTTTATTTGTCCAAATATTTGAGTAAGTCAACTTGACTACAGTTATCATGTAACAAAAAGACTCTTAGATTTATCAAACGACCTAATTAAAAAAAAACTTGATGCGTGAATTACCTCCATTAATTCTGATGATATAAATCATTTTATCCAGTTTTTTTTGTTATAAAGTGAAATTTTCAAGAAGTTAACTGTACCAATATGAATTATAGTTGCTTTTAACAATGAGATCGAGATCATTATATGATGTTCTCTAGAAGATGAAAGTATCCGACAATGAATTTCAACTGAGTATTCAGCTACAGCCGATTAGGAATATCAAAAAAACATGGATTAGTTTCATGTATATAACTTGGTCAACATGACACATATTTAGTACAAACGTTTTCATAATCGGTTACTCAAGTTGTTCACTGTGTCTAATCATATCTTCAAATATTAAAACTATTCATACTCGAAGAAATTGGAAAAATCAGCTAATCATTGTTTTATCAACACTGAATTCATCTGTTATGCCACCTGCAATCATTAACCAATCAAAGACTATTCACCAGTCAGTTATCCGATTTTGTTGAGTCTATGAAATTAATAAATTTTCCACTTGAAGTCTTATTAAGGAGCCGTCACCAGTAGATTTCATACATATCGTGTATGAACCATTTAACCACTAATGAAATTAAAAAAATATTTACACAATATTAAAAATTGATTGAAGACAGAATTGTAACCAATTGAGTGTAACCCAAATGGTCTATGAGAACTTAAGATCCTGGACTTGATCCTTGGTGGGTTCATATATCTACATAGATACAGAGTCTCATACTAGAACAAAATAGTAGTCTAGAAGTTTCTGGCTCTCAATGATTGTTTAAATACGACTAGTTAGTATTGTAAATGATGAAAATCAATTGAGTGATTTAATTTATTAGTTGAATTCATGAGTCATTTGAAGCTAGACCACCGCGGAAAACCTGGAAGCATTGAACGGCTGTTTCATCTTATTGTGGGACTCCTTATCAGTGTGCATTCACAATCTCGCTCCCGGGATTCGAACGCAAGACCTATCGATCTCGCGCGTAGACACTTGACCTCTAGACCACTAAACCAGAATTATTTAATTTCACTAATTCTATTGAATTAACGCTGACAATTTTTAACAGAATGTAGTTGTACAATGAAATACTATTAAAGTATTTTTATTATTATTTTTAGCTTATAATCACTCCTACATTAATAAACAGGAATAACAAATGTTTCGTCCAAAGATAGAGATAATTGAAGTTCTATTTATCTTCTCTTACAAGGACAATTAACTAATCAATCAGTCAATCAATTATGTTTGTCTCTTTGATTGTTTAGTCTTTTCTTTTCTTTCTTTCTTTCTTTCAATCTTGTTTCTTTTCATTACTTTTGAAGTGTATACTCTAAATAGAATGATAAATGTTTAGTATAGTTAGTAAATTTTTCATTTATTCTATATAAAAAAAGATAACCAAATAAATAATGAAACATTTACATTCTGGCTTTTATTTATTTTCAATAGTTGAGTTCATCAGACAATCGAAGCTAGACCACCATGGAAAACTTGGAAGCACTGGACGTCTGTTCCGTCCCACTGTGGGATTCCTCATCAGTGCACATCCACGACCCCGTGTCGTGGGATGTTGTTTTTTTGCATTGACAAATTGTTCCGCACCATTTATCTGGATCATTACTATCAAATGTTGTTGCTGTTTGAGTATTGAAATGTTCACTTTCATGATCAGGAAAAAATCAGTATTCTGTTTGTTTGTTCGTTTGTTCGTTATGTAATGTTTTACAAATCTGTTTTATATAATTGATGAATTGGTAAGTAATTAAATTGGCAGATGGATAAATAGATAGATCATTGATATTACAGTAGTAAACATTATCGAATGATACACTCTCTTAGGCGTACATACACATTTCCATCTTGTAGATGTATAACTACACATTGAAGTGATAATAATAATAAGAGCGAAGAAAACGACAGAGTGATAGTAAGTGTCAATAGTTAAAATCATGAGTCAATTGAAACTACACCACCATGGAAAAACTGGAAGAACTGGACGGCCGTTTCATCCTAGTATGGGACTCTTCAGCAGTGCGCATCCACAATCCCGACCCCCGCGGGATTCCAACCCAGGACCTATCCGTCTCGCGCGCGAGCGCATAGCCATTAGTTCACTGATAGTAAGTTTGTTGATGTAAATATCAAAGAAATAAAATAATAAACAGAAACAGATTACTTCATATGATACATTCTTATTCGTATTCAATAAAAAAAAGTGGAAATGAAGGGAAGATATACACATTTCACAAGATAAACGTATGAGCAAGCAAAAAGAAGAGAAGAAAGAATAGTTTTTATCCCTAATTATTTGTACTTTTCTATTTTCATTCCTTCCTTTACGATGATTACAAATTCATTAAATTACAATACCAATAATATCACAACAACAATAATAGTAATAATATGAGTAGTCATTTAGAGTATAACAAAAACTTAAAGTCTATATTATCTTTTAACCTAAATCCAATTTGTATTTGATATACACCTAAACACACACATACACACATTGAGAAAGACAGACATTGGCAATTTGTTATTCATCAACCTATTCTTTAAAACTAACCAGATCAAGAGACAAAAAGAGAACGAACCAGCCATCCAGCCAGCCAGAGAGCAAGAGAGACAGATAGTGAAAGAAAGACGAATTGAATAGGATTGAATACAATGAGTAAATAGAAAAATGAATAAAAAAAATGAAATTATAATAGTAAGAAAGTTATAAAATGAAAACAAAGAAATCCAATAATAAATAATAAATTAATCAAAACTTATCTTGATCTATTCATAAGAGTCTTGTTATTCAGTTGAATTCATCCACTTGATTGAGTAATACTAATAGTAATAATGATAGTAATGGTAATAGTAATAATAAATGTTCGATTTTAGAGAAATTCAACATAGAGAAAAACTGATCATTGGACTATAAAATAGAGAAATAAACTAACAAATAAACAAGTACTCTGATAATAGGGACTTATGTATGGAAATGAGTTATGCATGATTAGTTGAATCGTGTAAAAGAAAGAAAGAAAGGGAGAAAAAAGAAAAATACAACAGAATCCAAGTTAACTACAATATGTCTATATACACATCAATGAATAAGTAAGCAAATAAGACAAATACTGTTTACTACATTTATAACTAATGAACTATAAGTACAGATTTATAGTGTTTTATTGTATGTTAATATAGTCAATAGATAAAAACACAACCTGACAACTAATATATCATTCTATGTGTATGATTACCGATGTGTAGTATGACAGGGGGAAAAAACACATCTATTAGAGTAGATACAAAATTTTTTTTCTCTAAACTCTCCCCTAGAAATACCATTTTTCTTTTCTATTAGTAAACTATTGAAGTAAGAAGTTCATCTAAAATAAAACACACACACAAACACAAACGGTTTGATTACGTCAGTGGATTATTTGATTTATTACTTTGAATAATGTATGATTAAAGAGTTTTACTGACCAAAATGTTATTTTCTTTATAATGTTATATTCATATATGTGTTATTTTGTTTGATTTCCTTTTTATAAATAATGATAAGTGATTTTAAAATATCACTAACTAAATATAGTTAAACAACCATTATGAACTTAGGAGCATTGGATAATTGATTCATCTTACTACGGGACTGCTCAGCAGTGCATGTATGCATACTCATCATCATCATCATCATCATCATCATCATCATCATCATCATCATCATCATCATCATCATCATCATCATCATCATCATCATCATCATCATCATCATCATCATCATCATCATCATCATCATCATCATCATCATCATCATCATCATCATCATCATCATCATCATCATCATCATCATCATCATCATCATCATCATCATCATCATCATCATCATCATCATCATCATCATCATCATCATCATCATCATCATCATCATCATCATCATCATCATCATCATCATCATCATCATCATCATCATCATCATCATCATCATCATCATCATCATCATCATCATCATCATCATCATCATCATCATCATCATCATCATCATCATCATCATCATCATCATCATCATCATCATCATCATCATCATCATCATCATCATCATCATCATCATCATCATCATCATCATCATCATCATCATCATCATCATCATCATCATCATCATCATCATCATCATCATCATCATCATCATCATCATCATCATCATCATCATCATCATCATCATCATCATCATCATCATCATCATCATCATCATCATCATCATCATCATCATCATCATCATCATCATCATCATCATCATCATCATCATCATCATCATCATCATCATCATCATCATCATCATCATCATCATCATCATCATCATCATCATCATCATCATCATCATCATCATCATCATCATCATCATCATCATCATCATCATCATCATCATCATCATCATCATCATCATCATCATCATCATCATCATCATCATCATCATCATCATCATCATCATCATCATCATCATCATCATCATCATCATCATCATCATCATCATCATCATCATCATCATCATCATCATCATCATCATCATCATCATCATCATCATCATCATCATCATCATCATCATCATCATCATCATCATCATCATCATCATCATCATCATCATCATCATCATCATCATCATCATCATCATCATCATCATCATCATCATCATCATCATCATCATCATCATCATCATCATCATCATCATCATCATCATCATCATCATCATCATCATCATCATCATCATCATCATCATCATCATCATCATCATCATCATCATCATCATCATCATCATCATCATCATCATCATCATCATCATCATCATCATCATCATCATCATCATCATCATCATCATCATCATCATCATCATCATCATCATCATCATCATCATCATCATCATCATCATCATCATCATCATCATCATCATCATCATCATCATCATCATCATCATCATCATCATCATCATCATCATCATCATCATCATCATCATCATCATCATCATCATCATCATCATCATCATCATCATCATCATCATCATCATCATCATCATCATCATCATCATCATCATCATCATCATCATCATCATCATCATCATCATCATCATCATCATCATCATCATCATCATCATCATCATCATCATCATCATCATCATCATCATCATCATCATCATCATCATCATCATCATCATCATCATCATCATCATCATCATCATCATCATCATCATCATCATCATCATCATCATCATCATCATCATCATCATCATCATCATCATCATCATCATCATCATCATCATCATCATCATCATCATCATCATCATCATCATCATCATCATCATCATCATCATCATCATCATCATCATCATCATCATCATCATCATCATCATCATCATCATCATCATCATCATCATCATCATCATCATCATCATCATCATCATCATCATCATCATCATCATCATCATCATCATCATCATCATCATCATCATCATCATCATCATCATCATCATCATCATCATCATCATCATCATCATCATCATCATCATCATCATCATCATCATCATCATCATCATCATCATCATCATCATCATCATCATCATCATCATCATCATCATCATCATCATCATCATCATCATCATCATCATCATCATCATCATCATCATCATCATCATCATCATCATCATCATCATCATCATCATCATCATCATCATCATCATCATCATCATCATCATCATCATCATCATCATCATCATCATCATCATCATCATCATCATCATCATCATCATCATCATCATCATCATCATCATCATCATCATCATCATCATCATCATCATCATCATCATCATCATCATCAAGTTAATTATTCTGTAGATTTTCTTGATTGAGTTCATGAACCGATTGATGTTAGACCATCATTGAAAATCTGGAAGCGCTGCACGGCTATTTCGTTATATTGTGGGAGGAGAAACTCTGGAGAATGTGGAAACTTTCACGGACACGTGAAGCATCATCGATGAACAAGGAAGATTGGCAAGGCAATTGAAGAACATATGGAACTCGAAGCAACTTTCAATCAATATCAAAATCACAATCTTCAATACGAACGTCATGACAGTCAGTTCTACTGTATGGAGCTGAAACTTGGAGAACTACTACAACCATCATGAAGAAGGTACAAATATATATATAAATAGTTGTCTACACAAGGTACTCGACATCCATTGGTCGGATGCCATCAGTAAAAGCTTTCTCTGGGAGGCAACAAACCAGCTTCCAACTGAATAGGAAATTAGGAAAAGTCGTTGAAAATATATAGGACATGCATTACACAAATCATTAAACTGCATCTCAAGGCAACTCCTAACTTAGAATCCTGAACGGAAAAGGAAAAGAAGTAGGCCAAGTAATACATTACGTCGAGAAATAGGAGCAGATATGAAAAGGATGAATAGGGACTGGAAACAACTGGAAGGGACTGCCCAGAATAGGGTTGAATGGAGAATGCTGGTGGGCGGCCTATGCTCCTACACGAGGAATAACAGGTGTAAGTAAGTAAATAAGTAAGTTAATAAGTATCAATTTCGTTATATCATTTCATAAATACTATCATATTTTAATCGGAAATAAACCTTAAGACTTATGTGTGTGTGTTTTCAAAATGCATAGAAATTGTTTAAAAGGAAAAACAAAATGTAGACAAGTGAAAAGATTGTCAATAATGAGAAAAAACTCATTTCCTGTCGGATTTTTCTGATGGTAGTTATAGTGTATCACCCTCCTTTTTTTTTCTTATTTGACGTAACAGTCTAATATGTAAAGCAGTAGAAATATGGTGTTATACCGCTTATTGAAACATATGAATTGTGTTTCTTTTTTCTTCTTCTTCTTCTAATGTTTAACCAGTCGTGTGACCTGCTAGTGTTAGATTTTACCAATATACCTTTGTAATAAACATTTTTATGACATGAAATCAGTAAATATAAACATTCCATCATTGAATATAAACAAATTACTGTAAATATGTGTTCTGAAAATAGGGAACAGTTTTGCTTATTCCTACCATGTAACCAATATTTTAAGGAGTAATATACAAGTTGACTATCTACAGGTTAACAATGATGAAAAAAGACTTTACCTCATTTTCTAACCATGTTATCAGTTATATCCTAAAATATTTCATTATTTTATTTGTATATTCTTTTCGTAACTATTGAGTTACTAATGTGCAAATATAGATAGTTGCTAACAGTGGAAGTAAGGATGAGCGTTTCGGCCTATTTGAAACTTTTCAGCTGAGTGTATCTGCATCTCAGAGTTGATGTTCACTTTGGGACTTGAACTCAGTACCGTCCACTTCAAACTTCATCACGGTATCCACTTAACTACTGAGTTCATATTTGTATATAATGCTTGTGAATTAAGGTCATTTCGAATCAATACGCATAGTATGCACATATGTCAATAAAAGACTGATCAATTGCAGTCTTAAACATCAATTGGAAGATTAAAACAAACAATATCAAGTGGATTTATTGTGTTACTGCCTCATATTTTCCTTTATAAGACTGGTTCTTCTTTTCTCATTGAATTTCAATTTTCACTTTTGCTCTTGTTTACTACTATGCTATCCTGAAAGCAGCATGCAATAATCTCAAATAGATATTGGTTAAACATCTTTCAAATTTAGAAGTTATATACACTGTTTTTCTATGTTTTGCAGTTCTCGAGAAAATTTATGATACATAACTACATCGAACTACAGTTAATCTGTGCAAGCTCTAGATCAGAAAATAACTTGTTCATTATTTAAAATATAATACAAGTACACAAACATTTTGATAGTACGTAGTTCAAAGGAGAAGAAAGGAAGCTTTTTACTTAAACATCTAGCTATTTGGTATCTGTCATCAAGGTTTACCTGAAATCTTGAAGAAACCAATAATTCCTGGATTATCCAGGTTTTCAGTCGGAGACTCAAAGATATGTTAAGGGTTTCCTACTGACTATCACCTACCAATTGACATCAAAAAATTCTGTACCTATTTTCAAATCAATGATGCCAATACCCACACTACAAATTGATCAATAGGATTCGGCCAGTTCTAAGAATTAGACCAGTATGACATTGAAGTGTAATTCTACAGTACAGAACGTTTCACCAGTACACAAGCATGGCTCCAACGGTGACGATAAAGTTTTTACCGAGAATTTTACAGGAATATACAGTATTTTCCATGATTACTGAAAAGACAACAACTACGTTGTAAAGATTTACGATCGTCTACAATTTAAATGATCATATTTCTTTCAAGAGTAAATATCAACTTCAATTAAATCATTGCAAATATTCGTAAATAAATGTTATTGAGATAATACCGAGATCAATATTGAGAGCGAGACAATAATTTATGGACAAATCAATCTGATATAAGATAACGAGTCACGAATTTTGGCGCGAAAATCATTCATACATTTGTCTAAATAAAGTTTTGGCATTATAGCTTATGTCAATTCGTGATCTCATTTTTTAACCCTAACCATCAAGTGTAAATAAGAACTCTACAATGTGCTCACTAGTGACTAGCTTCGTGAGGGAATTATAGGAGTTCTAGTGAGAGCCGTGACCAGGGGAGCTAATCCATGTCGGGTAGAGACAGGTACCTACCTCAGTACAATGGAAGACGGTCGTGCAATTTCATAGATTGGTTGATGTTAGACACTAACACCGTTGGATGCCGGCTAGCTCAGTGGTCAAGTAGGATAAGCGTTCGTGCGCGAGACTGAATGCCCTGGGTTCAAATCCCACTGGCGCTATCGTGGGTGCGCACTGATGAGGAGTCCCATACTAGGACGAAACGTTCGTCAAGTGCTTCCGGGTTTTTAATGGTGGTCTAACATCAATCGGTTCATGATCACAGTCAAAAGTTGAATAAGTATTTCCACTTTTATTCATTTTATGACTGATTCAGTTTACAACTTTATAATTTTATACGACTTTTGTGACACTACAAAAATATACATCAGTTTCTTGGTAGTGTTACTCTGTTTTATTAATTCCCTGTTAGTCAGTCTATTGGGATAAAAGTTGCCTGACAATCATTTGAGTATTAGTTATACAAAAATAGAACACTATTTCCTAAATAAGGATCAACGGGTACTCTTGATCACATGTGTACAGCCTAAGCACATATCTCTAGCTTAAATGTTAATATCTTGAATATTGCTCAATGAACCATTCTCTTTCCCATGTCCTCGAATCCTATTACTAGCCTTTGCCTTGCCTAGCTATAACTTAATTCGATTTGACTATAAATTCGCCTCTGTATTTCCTGGCTCACATATATCCGCTTCTGTGTTCCGAATTCGCTTGATGTGCTTATAGCTTTGTGATCTGTACTATCGTTTAATAAACTGTAGTCGCCGCTTCTTATTACCTTCTGATTTTAAATACCGTTGGGATTTATATAATAACGGTTATCAAGTTGATCGATTAACGAAGCTAAGCCATTATAAACTCTTCTTACTAACTATCTAGGTAACTTATCACTTGACTGGAAATATGAGAAAGAAATTATTGACAGCATCCATGAAATCTGTATGATACTATGTATAATACATTTAGTAACATAATGATAATGTTGAGTGAGTTGCCAAACATTGTTCAACAATTTTGAAAAAAGCCTGAATTTCTAAAGAATTTGAGTTCAATCCCCGTTGGGGCTGAGGGATTAGCAATGGAGACAAGTCACGTACTGGGCTTTTTAGTCTCTAGTATTTGTCTAAATAAGATCATTCCGCATTGTAAACTATGATATACGTACATATATATTTCATGCTGCACTGAAGGTCAGAGATGATAAACTAGTCTTATATTATGAAACAGTTCACAACTGACCAAAGATGACAATTGATTCTCAAATTCACTAGACTATAAATATTATAACTATTTTGTTATGTTTTCAACGGACAGAATGATGACAATCAGTGGTAAGTTAAACATCGAGAAGTTTTAGAAAATCCATATCTTTAATACACCGATCTAAAACATATTATAAGGATCTTTCCTTTCTAAGTAATATGAATGATTTCTTAACAATAAACTAATCAAATCGTTTATAGAAAAATGTTTCACCTTTAAGTACTGATTTCTTTTGTAAACTGATATCATTTACTGAGAATACTGTTAATCATTTTCTGAAACGAAGTAACCTGAATCAAGTATAGTTTGAAATATTTTCTTCTGGTAAAGCGTTTTTTTGGGGAGTTAGTTTTCTACAGGATAGGGTCGTTAACCCTATACCCAACCCTCCTCCTTTATTCGGGTTTGGGACTGGCAGTAGCCCCAGAGAAGCTCCAGGCGGAGTTAAGTATAGTACAATCCGGTTAATCCAGAAACACTTAATCATTTAGTTCATACACTTGTAATTATCTTCTCTATAGTATCAAGACATTAGCTTTTCAAAGAAATGCTCCTCCTTGATGTCATAAATTCCGATTCTTTGATTTTTATATTGTCTAGATATGAAGTTATTGAATTTATTGAACAACTAGACAATCTTGTGGATAGTTGAGAAAAACACGTGTTATGTCTATCTAGCTAGTATCAACTTCATATATTGAATTAAATGAAAGAAACTATCTTACATAAACAATAACCAACAATTGGCGTGAGCTACTTCAAAGAAAACATAGTAACACTCAAAATGACAAATGATAGATGGAATCTTTGATACAATATATATATATATATATATATATATATATATATATATATCTTATCTTACCCCGACAAGGGTGTAACTTGATAAAACTTTGGACTTTTATTCTCATCCAGTCACTAAATAAGCGGCAAAATAAAAA